ACACACACACACACACACGCGCACACATATAGGACCACCGCACGCGCACACTCACCGGGAGAGTCTGAGGGCTCGCGCCGCCCGCCGGAGCTGCTGCTGCGGTGCCGCACGCGCTGCTGCTCGCGCCTCCGTCCGCCCTCCCGGGTCACGGAGCCGCCGCCCGGACGGCCGCGGCCGGCTCCCGGCAGCATTTCCTCTTCATGTGAGCTCCCCGCGGCGGAGGGAGTCTGTCCTCCCGCGTGAGCGTGAACGTGAACGCCTCCTGCCTCCTCGCGCCTCCCGCTGCCGCCGCGCGCCACCGTCTGGAGCGGCCGAACCGCTCCGCGCACCGCCGTCTGCGCCCACAAAACACGGGAAAGCAACACAATAAAAAAAAAATTCAAAAAAAGGTTGGGGTTTTTCTGGGATTGAGGAGGGTCTCGCGCAGCCCTCCTCTCAGCGGAGGAGCTGACAGCGCCGGGGCTAGAGCCCGCAGCTCCGCTTCCGGTGACAGGCGCGGGACTCCCCGGTATGCGGGAGGCGAAATGCGACCGTGCGCACGAGCGTCTCCGCCACTGCTGCGATTCCAACTCTGAGCCTCACGCGCCTCAGCCTCCGCTGTACCTCTCCAACGTGTCTGACTGTCAAAGCCATCCGGGCACCCGTAGCTGGCTTCAATTAGCGCCGGGGAACTATGGGAACTGTGGTTTTTCTGAAGACAGCAGGGGGAAAGTGAGCGCAGGAGCAGGGGGAGAAACACAATGGGATGAGTGGGAGGGCAGAAAACGCTGTCAGGGCCACGCTCTGGCATGAGATTTTAAGCATTAAACCTTTAAAACATCGCTTCTGTCGTTAAGAAAAGGGGTAACTAACAGAAAGGATGATTTGTAGAAGGTTAGTGGGTAACAGGTCTGAAGCAGGGATTTAAAAACAGCCTCTTGGAGAGCCTGAATCTGGTGATTAGTGTTCAGGAACAACCTCAAATTGTTCTGTAGTTTAAATCTTAATGCTGCTCGCAGTGAAATTGCAAAAAACCTGATTTATGTAGTATGAAACTATGAAAGGATTCATATCAATTTGACCTACTAGAGGGCACAGCTGTTACCCAGAGTCTGAAAAGTAGATCACAGGTTTAGGCTAAATGTCGGTTATTTTGTTTTCTGCTCCCCACAAACGCAGGTGAAACCTCCGTCACACGAAGAAGAAGCTGTTTGTGTGAACGAACCGGAAACAACCGCCGTCCTGTCTGGGTCAAAGGTCATTTGAAATGGCTGAAGCCGACCGGAGGAGGAGCCTCTGGGGCCCGGGTCACCATGCAGGTGTTTCAGGTGCAGACACATCTGGAGCACAGCTGTCAGTGCTGAGAGGAGTAGGCCAGCTTTATATTTATATTTAATATTCAGTTATATTCTGTCATGAAACACCCGGCAAGCAAATATTTTCATGAAGCCTCGTTCTCAGTTTTATCATCATTATCATTAATTATTATTATTTTAGTGTTATTTCAGGAGACTTGCAAATCTCCTAAACTGTGTGTTTTACTTGTTTTATGCATTTTACATCCCAACTTTTGTTGCATTTTCACATTTCTTAACCCCATTTGGCTCATGCATTAGGTTTGTATGAAGCCTTTCAGCCGTGGCTGCTTGCATCTGTACTTGTGAAAGGAAATTTTAAAAAGCCAACGCGAGTGTGTGTGAATGAGAAACACGTCGTAACCGTAAAAAGATATCTGATCTTTATTACAATGACATGGCAGGGCGCGTGGCAGCACGGTTACATTCATAAAACATTCTCCCTCTTCAGGTCTTTCCCCTTTATGTGGTCTATCTGACGGCGCCCCGCCGAGTGATAAAACCCTTTACATGGTCACTACATATAGCATTGCTTGTGTCTGAGTTAAATTAGATCAACAACGTCTTGCAAAATGGTCACATAAAATATCAGACACGTAAAGCTCTTTTTTTTTTCACCAGAAGTTTTCCTAACAAAGAATTAAAGGCAGGAGGTGGGAAACAGGTTCGAGGAGAGGGACATTGATCCTGATCTCTGATTGAGATGAAAACAGACCTACCGCAGGGGAGTGATTCTTTTAAAACAGGCCTCTCTGTGTCTGCACATAATCTACTCGGCTCTCGGGCAGCTTTCGTGGGGTCCGCGGACACTCGTTTGCGACGGAAAACCTGTCGCACCTTTTCGTGTCCGGACTCGACCTTCGAAAAAACAAACGGCCGAGGGCCTGGAGAAAGCTCCCCGCACAAAATAACCCGAACAAACATGGCAGCCGAACAGATCATGTACCCACCGGACTTCCCTCCACCCCGACACAACCATCCACATCTCCTTTCAGATCCTTGTTGTCATGGTTACGGAGTAAAGCAACAATTTCTGCAGACGCCTGACCGGGAGAGCCGAGGCTCCCTCAAAATGGTAAACCGGTCCGTTCTGAGCTGGCTGCGGGCGAGCGAAGGCACAAGGAAGGAAACTGTCTCTAAACTTTTTAAACAAGTCATCGATATGCATCTTCATATGAGTGTGTTTGGATTCTGACGGGTTAAACAGGATCCCCCCGGGGGGGGTCACAGGTTCTCCCCGGGCTGGTACTGGGGCTCTGTGGCCGTGAAGTAATCCTCCAGGAAGGACTGCAGGTACTCGAAGGTGTGCCTCTCGTCGGGCTCCCGCCTCCAGCACTGCACCATCAGTTCGTGGAGGGAGGCCGGACAGCCGGGGGCGCAGGGCATCCGGTAGCCTCTCTCCACCTGCTCCAGCACCTCACGGTTGTTCATGCCTGGAGGGAGAGGGTGGAGGGGGGGTGGAGGAGGGAGAGGGGAGGGGGAGAAAGGAGAGGACAGAGAAGGTTGAAGTGAACAGAGTCGGGTCAGAGAGACAAACTAAGTCTCAAAATAGGAGCAGTGATGATGATTAGTGTAATCTAATACGGTTTTGTTCATCTAATCTTCAAACTATGAGTCCCAGAGCCCCTATTTATGTATTTATTCTAAGAGAACATTGTATTTTTCCGCTATTTGGTCATTTATTCGTTCTTTGTTAGATGCAACACATCATTCTTTCAAATAAAACTTTAAAGATATTTTCTGCGATCCTTAAAATATTCTGTTCAACAGCTTCAAATTGAGTCGTTCCAAATGTTAACTGGATAAAAGTAAAGTGACAATACAATTTTAAAGTTTATAGAAAACTCACTTACATATTTCTGCTCACATTTTTACAGTACATGCTCCTCATAGTGCACGGGCACAGCAGCCCTCCAGTGTCCAGGTGTTGAAAAACCATAGCTCACAACCTTTTTTCCCAGACAACGCTGACGTTTTTTAACGCTCTTAAGGTTTGTTTAGTGTGAAAATTCACATGAAGAAATTCAGCCGTGAAACACAAACGACTTTCAATGAAAATTAAACGCACACTCAATGAAAACTTCCTTCGACTTTAGGGGGAATTGAAAATCTCGAGTGGCTTTTATGTGTTCTTCAGTGTTGCAGCAGCACGGTTTTCTCGGCTTCGGTCTGAGATTCGTGCTGTAATTTAAACGTTTGGTCAAAACGGCAACGCGTGGCGTGGAGCTTTCCTTGTTCGAGCCAAAATGCCTGTTATGCAAATATGATTCACGGGGATGCAGACAAGTGAGGGGAAAAGAAAAGGCCTGGACAGGCAGCGGGGTGGGAGACGGAGCTGGCCGCCCTCGGCTCCACACAAAGGGCTTCAGCCCTCAGTCTGGGACCTGGACGCAGCCAGGAAGCCTTTTATCGCTTTTACACGAGAATTTCAGTCTCATTTCAACAACAGGTGTCACTGCTGAGAGTAATGTGCTGCCAGATATCAGCAACAAAAGAGATCAAGAGCAGAAAACGTGATTAGAGACTAAGGGCCCGACACCCTCTCGCCCCTTAGCATGCAGAGATTTTACATTTGTAACAATACGTCGTTATTTAATGTGCTTAAAACAAAACTTTACAAGCCCAAACGAAGATTCTAAACCATTGAAACGCCATTGAAAGTGCAGGAGAAAATGTTTTTGGGCAGCACAAATTTCAAATGAGTGTTAAAGAGGAGGATGTAAACCCTGAAAACAGCAAGATCTGAAAGTAATTCACGCACTTTGTCCGAAAGTCACCAAAAGCACAGTGTTGTTGGATATGAAAACCTTTCAAATTGGAAAATATAAAAGCTAATCCAGGAAGATTTAGAAGATAAGTGATAACGAGGCTGATTCTGCCTGACATAACGGTGGGGGGAGTACCTGGGTAAGGCACCCGGCCCTTGGTGATGAGCTCGGTCAGGAGGATCCCGAAGCTCCAGACGTCTGACTTGATGGTAAAGCGTCCGTAGAGAGCAGCCTCTGGAGCCGTCCACTTGATGGGAAACTTCGCCCCTGATGCCATGGTAACAAGGGATGATAGTATAATTAGGACAGGTTACGTATAGAAATGTGACCACGTACCTAAAATTAGAAAAGATTAAATATACATTAAGATGATCCAATGATCATTTTTATGGTATTTGGAATCCATTAATAAAATATTTTGAAAAGCTCAGGACACTTCCTGAGAATCCCTAAGAGTAAACCATCTAAATTTTATGGCCAAAACCTATAGAAGTTAAACGAATAAGGCTACGCTGTCCCCCTTTGTTATGTATGGTAGGAACATATATACAGATATGCATATTAATGCATATCTTGTTTAATTACTTCTTGGTTGTATTTATTTTTTGTCTTTCCTTTTCTTTATGGTCTAAGATGTATATGTATATATAAATGACTCAGTAATGTTTTATTGCTTATTGATCTTGTTGGTAGACGCACAGTAGTTCTGAGGGGTGGGGGGTGCAATTTGAAATGTTTAAAACACCAAAATCTATATCTTGAGCCAAGAATATACCTCTGTTTTGTGTTTGATAAGAAGATATAAAAAAAAAAAAGAAAAGTGACCACAAAAGGCAAAGTGGACGCGTTAATAACAGCGTCTGAGGTTCTCCCACACACATGCACACGTAACCCCCCCCCCACACACACACACACACACACACCTTGTCTGGCCGTGTACTCGTTGTCCTCGATGAGCCTCGCCAGGCCAAAGTCGGCGATCTTGCACACCAGGTTGTCTCCGACCAGGATGTTGGCGGCCCGCAGGTCCCGGTGGATGTAGTTCATCCGCTCGATGTACGCCATTCCAGCTGCAATCTGCCCCCCCACACAGGAGAAGAGAGACCCCGTCAGCAGGGGGAGTAAAACCGGCTCCGGTCTGTCGGCGAGTTCATCCTTCAATCACCTGCGCGGCCATGTCCACCAGCTGAGGCAGCTTCAGGCTCTGGCCTTCTCCATCCTTTAAGAAGTCCAGCAGACTTCCTGAAAACACCAGAGGAGGGTCATTAAGAAGGGAAGCAGGAAACCACACAGTCCCACGTTTGGAGCAGATAAGACGATTACTGACAAGTCACTGCCACCAGGTCACAGCAGAAACATCGATATGGACCAGATCGTAAATATTTTCATTTTCATGATTTCATATCGTGCATAAGACAATATATGTGCTCTATCTAAACTGAAATTGTAAAAAATTTAAATGAAACCTTAAATATTTAGTCCTGTATAAAAACCTGTGATCATACTGTGTTCATAAATTACCAAAAACCTCAAACAGGGATCCTGTGAACTCGGTGCTTCATCCAAGCATGTGTAGGTTCAAACTTTGATTTTCCACATTACTAAAGCTGTCCTTGATCATGAACCCTCTTCAGTTAATGGGCTAAATTACATCACTGCTGATTTCATGGACTGCCTGTTTCTGTTTGCGTGATACAGAGTTGGATATTTAAAAAATGTCCATTTTAGAGATTTAATGAAAGTCAGGGAAGCCAAAAAGAGAGACAGTAACCTTTGAAGCGGCTCCAGATTCAGGGGAAAAGGGAGGACTTATTACTTCATTTATCATTGATTTACTTATGTGGAAAGGCGCCACGATAACACCGGTGAAACACTCCATTAAAATGACCTTTTTCTGTTACTAATATCTTAAGAGGCAGGAGTGTTTTTCACTGTCATGATGTGGGAAAAGTGAACTTCAGCAGTTCAATGTCAGTGAGGCCTCCACCTACTGTGATGGCAGCCGTTCAGATCTACGGGTGTGTGTCAGAGTTACTCGGCCCGGTACCTTGGCTCATGAACTCGGTGATAATGTAGATGGGCTCCTCAGACACCACGGCGTAGAGCTGCACCAGCTTGTCATGCCGGAGTCTCTTCATGATCTGAGCCTCCTCCAGGAAGGCCTCGGGGGACATGGTTCCCGGCTTCAGAGTCTTCACCGCCACCTTGGTGGTGCCGTTCCACATGCCTGGCATACAGACGAGCGGATGTGAGGCGAGCCCACACAGACGCACACAGATGCTCCGCGGGAAGCATTTCCACTCATCCTTCCATCCTTGTGACAGCAGCAGATGCTTATGAGGCACATTCAGCATATATATCCGCGTATATGGGCACACGGGAGCCCATATACGCGGATATAAACACAAAACGAGGTGCTTCGGCACAACGCCACATGTGGTAAATTCCCGGTGCATTCACGTGGTTGTTACATGAGGAGCATGCGTTTTTTGTGAGGAGAGGAAGGAGGGATGCGAGGAGGGAGGGAGGGAGGGAGGGTTTTCTGGATGTCTTACGTCAACACCGGCAGCACCTGAGTTACACGGGCAGGAAAAGAGTTCAGCCGGCTCAGAAATCCAACACACCTAGATTCAGGGTGTAACACAAACCGACCACAGGTGTGACTGCACACGCTTCCTGTGGGAAAACCAGCCCACGCGTCTCAGGCTGGCAAAAACAAACGGCATCAACCGATATAGAGGAATCCCACATCCGGCGTTTTTTCCGGGGCGAACGTCTTCGTTCTGCCCTCCGGGACCGCGGTGCGTTCGAGGTCCTCACCCATCCACACGTCCCCGAAACAGCCCTGGCCCAGCTTCCTCTGCAGGCAGAGCGTTTCCCTGGGCACCTCCCAGGCGTCCCGCCCCAGGCCCAGAGTGAGGGGGGTGCTGTTGGGGCAGGGATTTGTCAGGTAATAGCACAGCCCGTCATTACTGCCTGGGAGGGGGGGGGGGAGCAGGCAGGCGCCCGGAAAGGGGTGAGATGAAGGTGGGGAGGAGAGGAGTGGGTGATGGAGAATGGGAGAAAAAAGGGGTGCAGTGGTGGATGGAAAGATGGAGGGGGGGGGGATGACAAAGGTGATATGAGATGGTGAAACATGCGCATGCACTCGTGGGGGAGGAGGGGAGCAGCTCAGTGCACCTGGATTTGAAATATGATTTCACTTCTATTTATAGATTTCTGTGATTTTTCTCACTTTTTTGCACTTTCATCTTAAAAAATTGACAAAAACTAGATTAGTTTTGCATGTTTTCACGTCTGTGTGAACACGTCCCTGCACTTTCAGACTGGCAGTTGCTCATATTTCATGTTTCAGGGGTGCTTTTGCTGTCATTTCCCTCCTCCCCCTTCCAACACAGTCCCACCAGTCCTACCCATCCAGACTTCTCCAAACTGGCCGTTGCCCAGTTTCTTAATCAGTTGGAGAGATTCTCGCGGAATCTCCCACATATCCTTGGTCTTCACTGATAAGTCAGCCAGCTTAGGCATGCCCCGCTTACAGCTGCCAATCAAACGGCAGCACAGGCCGGCCGCTCTCTCTGAGAGAGAGCACCACAAACCGACAGGCGAAAGATAGAAAAAAAAAGAAAACAGAAACGGGGGGAAAGGAGAGCAGGCACAAAGTTGAAGAAAGAACAAGACAGGTCGCATATGTGCGTCATCAGCTGACAAGTTAACAAAAGTACAGAGACACAAATGGCATCGACAGACACTGTGAGCTGCAACACAATAGCACAGAGCAATATCAAAACAGGGCTAAAAAAAAAAAAGGATATAACGCCTGTCAAACTGCAGAGTGTTTTCTGATATTAGCTGGAGCCACTAGGTGGCAGATTTATACTGACAGAGAGCTGAGGAAGTGAAAGCTTTGGTGTGGCACAAAACCTGAGTTAATTCACTAATGGCTGAAGATGTCTTCACTTAAACAAACATCTGCAAAAGATCTGTGGTCAAAATCAGACGAGACAATAAAGTCAGCATTTCTGAGGCAGTCTCGTGAGAGCGGCACAGTTAAGCAGTTTACTCCGATCACATGACAAACACTTGGGTAATGTCATCTGCAGCAATGCAGGATTCTTTTAAATGCAAAATCAGTCAATTTAAAAACGTTAAATGAGGCAAGAAGGGAGGCAGGAACACGTAGAGAGCCAAAAGCAGTAACATGTAGAAGTAAATATAAGGAAGGAAGTTAAGTATAATAAAAGCTTTACAGAGTTATGCTAAGATGACCACTTCACAGAACTAGCAGGGGGGCGAGAAAGACATTTAAATAATGAATGCATACATATATATTCAAGTTCACTCGACGGAGCCAAGATTTTAAGCTAGGTTGCATATTTAAACATATATTTATAGGGGCTTGTTGAAGCCAGTGTTTCACCTGACAGCTGAGAGGTTGAAAGGATATTTTCATTTCCATTTCTCTTAACAAAGTGTTCCAAATCTAGCGATCTTTGAATGAAAAAAAAAAATCTAGGACAATTTCAGATGGCTGAGGCACGAGCTTTGCAGTCTGACAGGAAGTGGAAACCAAATAGAGGCTGGCTGGTCCTCCTTGTGGTTGTGTTACCTGTGTAGTGCTCGACCAGCTGCTGCACAGTGTCAAACTGCGACCGGGTGGTTATGTAGTAGCCACCGTTGTCTAGTTTACGAATCTTATAATGCTTGACGTGGTCTCCCTTGTTGTCGTCCCAGTCCCGGATGGACAGCGAATAGGCACCTGCGAGGGGTTGAAACATGGAGGAGGGTAAAGGGGAGCAAGGCACCGAGCGGGCCCACGTGAACGACACATTTACACAAAAAATATCTCTGTTAGGAGACGTGGTGCCACCTCACCCTTGGTTGTCTCGCTCTCGCGTATGAGGAAGGTCCCCCTCTGGTTGCCTTGACCCAGCAGCTGTCTCTCTGCATCCTTCCGCCCCATCTTCCCAAAATACCACCTGTCACCATGATAACACCACTCAGGTCTCAGCAGCAGACAAACATCATTTAGCCTCAGCTTTCAAACTCCATGTGAATCATTGAAGACATCCAGGAGCCCGAATACAAAGCCATCGCTGCTGTGCGTGTTTGTGGGAATTTGTGCGCACTCACTCCTCGGCCTGTATGGAGTCCACGGGAGCGACATAGTTCGAGGGGATGTAACCAGATTTTCCGGTGTCCAAAGAGCGAGCCTCCCACCAGTCGCCCTCTCTGGGTTTAAAAACACACACGTGGAGTTTCATCAGCATAAAACGACGCCTCTAAAAAGACGTCCGGTTTACAAAGAGGGCATTTGGAGCATGTGTGTTTAATCTGTTAGCTGCAAACCCAAAATGTAAACAGCATGAAAACTGATTTTAGATTTCCAGAGCGGCACAAAACGTTTGTCAATAACACGAGCTTGTGAGCGCGGACACCAGCGGAGGCCTCCAACAGCCAGCCAGGGGAGGCGTTTAATGGCTGTCTGTGGGATCCAAGGCAGGCAAACAACATCAGCCAGTGTTAGGAAGTCAATACTGATGTGATCACATTGCCATATTGGGAGGTTTGGGGGATACATTTTTATCTGCTGCTGTCATATCAGAGACTATTGTTCTTGAATGTGCCATCTGTAAACCCACCTGTAAAGAAATAAGTAAGTAACTAAAGAATTAAGTAAGTAACTAACTAACTAAATAAATAAATAAATAGGTTTCTAAATAAATACATAAGTAAGTAAAGAAGTAGGTAAGTAAGTAAGTAAGTAACTAACTAACTAACTAAGTAAATAAATAGGTTTATAAATAAATACATAAGCAAGTTAGTAAGTAAGTAAGTAAGTAAGTAACTAAACAAATTAATGAATGAATAAATAGGTTTATAAATAAATACATAAGTGAGTAAAGAAGTAGGTAAGTAAGTAAGTAAGTAAGTGAGTAAGTAAGTAAGTAAGTAAGTAAGTAAGTAAGTAAGTAAGTAAGTAAGTAAGTAAGTAAGTAAGTAAGTAAGTAAGTAAGTAAGTAAGTAAGTAAATAAATAAATAAATAAGCAAGTAAGTAAGTAAGTATGTAAATAAATAAGTCTGCTCACGTGTTGTTGATGATCTGGAATTTCTCTCCCTTCTGGAAGGTGAGGTCATCTTCAGTCCGAGCATCGTAGTCATACAGAGCTATAAAGAGAGTGACTCCACCACCTGCGTGAGCACAAACAGAGCATCACTGTCCCCACCATGGAGGGCGACCACAAAAAACACCAAAGATTTTTGACGATGCTCAGGTTGAACCTGATTTTCTATTAGTATTATTCCATTAAAAGTATATGGCATCTGTTAAGATGTCCACCTTCTGGCATCTAATTCAGTTAAAACACATTTTTGCCGTGCACGGGCGTGCACGTGTGGTCGTACTGGTCAGGCCCCCGGGCCGCTGGTGCGTGCTGGTGTTGGGGAAGATGGCGACGGAGTTGAAGGCCTTGTTGAAGTCGGGGATGGTCTGCGTGGGGTCGGGGCTGTAGCGGCCCTTGTGGAAGGCCGTGGACAGCCCCCCATCCGCGTTGCTAGGAGACCGATCTGCGATGTCGGCTGTTGCTGATGACGTGATGGACTTGGCAGACTTCTTCTGCTTGCAGCAGACACACCCCATAATAACCGGCACGGAGACGGCGTCTGTGGAAGCAGGCAGCTCGGTTTGATACTATGTGGGAGGATCTAAATGTAAAGTGAGGCTTAAATATGAACTAAAAGCCACTCAGCTTGCATAAATAAGAGGGAAATAACAGCAGTAAAATATGTGAAAACAAAAACAAGAAGGGTTTTTATCAAATGTAGCTTGATTACGAGTGACTTCTGAACCTACAGAAACTCACTGCCTATGAACTGAAGTGAGAGGAAAGTGAAAGCATACCAGGGTACAAATTAAACACAATAGAGAACTTGACAAAGAGAAGTAACAAACTTTAAATAAAGAAGCTCAACTTCCCTCCAGCAGGAATGAGAGGGAGCGGTGACAGGGCAGGAAGGAGAAGTTAATTTGGTCTCACCTGATGTCTTTCTCTGTCAGATCATCTGTCGATCAGCATCGCCACTGGAACAGAGAGGAGAGGGTGAGCGGGGGGGAAAATGGAGGAGGGGGGAGGCAAGAAAAAGACAAGAGAATTAGAGTTTGAACGAGAGATGTGCACAGTCAGATGTAAGGAGAAGTTACAGAAGTGCAAACAGCCTGAGATAAGGAGAGCCCAGAGAGAGGGAGAGAGAGAGAGAGATGTGAGGTTAGCCACTTCCCCTTTTTCTTTGCCGTTTCGAGACGGTGCTCAGTCCCTCTTTGGTCAACAGCTGTGAGTGTGAACATTTGTGGTGATGGAGGCCTGTAAATGTCACCACCAGACTGAGCTAACCGACACACAGTGACCCTCCGCCAGCAGAGTCCTGCCCATGTTGGTTTAAGCAACGCCACTTCTGAACCAACTTTAATTTTTCAGTGGAACAAACGTTGACAAAGCAAAAACTGTTTGCAGCACAAAGAGGAAACAAAAGACAGTGGAAAGCATTCTGCATGGTTTTCGCACGCAGGTTTCTTCTTTTAATTTTTTTTGTGGACGGCCACAGAACCTAAAAAACTCGTTCACGAAGCTAAAACTAAAGCTGGGGATTTCAAAGATTTTTAACCCCAAAGGGAAACAATCCTCGTGCCTCTTCATCAGACTTGCTCTGTGAGCGTAGCTTGAAACAGCTTCTTGGTCCAGTAATAAGTCCGGTAAGCAAATATCTAAGCTCACGAGTTCCAATGCATTCTTAATCCAAGCTTTGTTTTGTTAGAGGTTTCACTTCCAGAAAATACATTTTTCCAACAATAAGGATCACATTCCCTTTTAACCAGATGGCCTTCCCTAAAAAAATACAAATAAAAACTATTAAATATTCACTTTTGCCTTTTTTTGTGAAATCGGTTAAGGTTATTGGTCATTTTAAATCAATAATAATGTTTTTTAAAGGTGGCTTTATGTTTGTTACAGAAATACAGCAGAACAAAAATGACAAATTCTAAAACAATAAAGCATGTAAACTTTTTCAACTACGTCCATTAATTACACCTTAGCATATAAACAAAAACTCTTTTAAAAGAACAGTTTATGGTTTTAGTCCAAATCAGGTAACCATTTTCATATAAGATCGAGTACTTTTTCTTTAAAAAAAAACGAAGGCCAAGACATCTTTTTTTATCAATAAGACTGTTAAGTTGGGGACTAGGCAGGTATTTTTCTTTTTCCTTGTTATGATCATCAGCTTGGTAAAATATCCCTCTTGTGAATAGATTATTTCTCCTACCAAACACTCACAACCCACAAATCCACTGAATTCCTTTTGGCTCCTTCATACTGGGATGACTGGATGACGAGTGGCCTCTGGAGTCTAACCTGCCACCTTTCAGGAGGACCCCACCTACTGAGGAATGTGGGGGAAGTCACACAGTAGGAGAACAATACAAGTCACGGCACAGAGGGAAGAACAAAAAAAAAGCTATTTACTTTCATTAAGAAAAAACCAGCCGAGCTTCTTCTGAACCGTCGATTTGGTTCCATCCGCACAAATTCCTTGAAATTCTTCCACAGAAACAAAAGCTATAATGGGCAGCATCCAGATGACTGCATCGCTTCACCCACAGCAACATATACAAACATTTCACGATTAGGGGAATGGACACACACACACACTCACTGGTTATCAGGCCAGCCATCATGAGAACTACAGGAAGTTAGCCCTGCTACAGTTTCCTGTTCACCCCTCCGATGGCTCCCCCCTTTTCCTGGAAACCGAGGACAGAGTCCATCCACAAACACACACCCAAAACAGCTGCAGGGCCACAAACCCCCCGGACACACACATTTTCTTCTCATGCTCACATCCATCCCACACAACCGTTCTCGTTCCCTCCATCCTCCATTCGGATGCCGGCTTCTTGATAAAATCCAAAAAGGAGACGTCACACAGGGCAGAACAGAGTTCTGTGTCATCCTGATGCGTTCTCTGCTTTTTCTCACCTTTTTCTCTTCTCCAGGAGTCGCACACGACCACAAACAGGAGAGATTAAACAACAGAGACGCCCCCTCGCTCACAGAGCGGGGAGTGTTTTTAAAAAGCCGCGTTTTTCTCGACTGGTTGGGCCGATATTCCTGCTCTGAGCTGGTCTTCACTGGCAATAACCCACTTATTCTGTCCACAAAATGAAGAAACTAAATGGCACAAACCCCGTCGGCCTGTGAAGTGAAACCCACATCGACTCGCCTCTGAATGCTAATCAGCTTTGCCTCTGTGTCTTTTAATACCAGACATGTTCACATCTCGGTCGCCACAACTATCATAAAGCACACGTACAGAGTGTGGAGTGGGTCGGGGTGCGGTGGTGGAGGCAGTGAGTCGTCGGGTGGGGGTTGTATAGTCAGTCTGCGCACTACTTTTGTGCGTCTGTACAGCCGGAGTCCTTCATGTCAGTCTGGGTTTCTGTTCCTCTGCTCAAAACAAATCATTAATAGAGACACAGGCTCTCGTTTAGTGACGTTCATCCACCATAATGGGCCCTAATGTGTTCATAATACACCAGTCTGGTGCTACGACTCAAAAATATGCTACACAATCTACAACAAGGCCTTCTTGGGATTCTCCTGTAGCGTCAAAGCTGACTCTTGTTTCACTCTCTGATCAATCTATATTTGCTAGCAGAGGGCAAAAGCAAAGAACCAATTAGATCAAGCAGTAAAACAGAAGCTGCTTCCTCTGGTGGGTAGAAGTGTGATGTTGGTTTGTGATAAGTCTAACAGCGAACACAAGATAGGAGACACAGGAAAGGGACTATTCTGGACAATTGTGTAAAAGAATTTTTAAAAAAGACAGTTTCACAGAACTGAATAAATAGCTTCACTATAAATAATTCTACCAAAGAAATTGTCCATTTAGATTTTTTTTATCATCTGACAAAGTTAAACCTACTGCTTTCACAGACAAAATATTCCCCTCAATGCCAAAAAGAAATGTAGAAATCTGCAGACGGCCCTTCAGAATCTCTTCAGACGACCTCACTCGTTGAGTTTGTCTTCAATTTAAAAGGCTGATTACATCATATCTAAAGGATCCAAGAAGATGAAAACCATTTTTGTCAACAAATTATTAAAATCTTCTTGGATTTTCTGTCTGTTTGTGGTTTTTCTCCCACTATGATGCTTCCACCACCATGCTTCAATGCTGGGAAGTAGAATTTGTCCATCAGCTCAAGATATAAATGCAAAATTAAATCAAATTCGATGTCTGAAACAGAGATCAGCTGCTGGAATTTTACCCTACTGAGCAATATGTCTCCTTTTCCATTTTCTGCGTGTCTAAATTCTTCAAATCTCTTTCTCTAAAGGAACCAAGAACCTCTGAGTAACAAGCCACACATGGAAAACAACAGAGCTCGATGGAGTTTTGGATGAAAAAAAGATGGTCGAACTTGTTCCATAGCTGAAAGGTTATTAAGATCTTCACAGTTGTTTTGGACATCGTTGGTCCAAAAAAGACATTTCTGTATCACCACCCGGAAAAGGTGACGATACACCACAATTACAACTGCTTTAAAGGAACCTGGCTCCTCTCTTTCGTCACCTAAAAATTCCCGTAAAAAAGGACCAAATGTTCTGTGGAACAGTTTCTTTTCACAGCTTTACAACATTATATTGCCGCTCTGGCTCACGCGAAACAATATCAGGAAGCAACGAGATTTTGACCCGAAACCAGAAGCACGCATTCGGAGCATTCTTCTGAAATCACAATAACATCACCCTCCATCGCCGTCCTCACACTCACAAACATCCAGAGCAGGGCGACACACCCTTTCCTGCGCAGAGGGCTGTAGATAAGCGGCTCCCAGAGGGAGAAGTTCACCTCAGCTACACGCACACGCGTCCACAATCCGTCCAGTTCGTGGACTTTCGGTGGTTTTCGACGCGATGAGCCCAAACTTTTCGCCCGATCTCTTTTCTTACCTTTTCCCTTCTCCCTCTGCTCGTCTCTCCCGCTGCCTCCTGCACAGGAAACTCCACAGGATGCAGAGTGTGCGTGGGGCAGGAGTGATAGGACAATGGGAAGCACACTGTCCCAACACACAGAGTCCAGGCCCGGTCTCAGAAACAGGCGGGCAGAGCTGGAGGCGGGCCGTGGAAAACTAGGGCTTCTCAGCCACCGGGATGTCCTGTTTCCACATGAGGTCATCGCATCCTCAAGATACGGGGGACCGAGGTGGCCTAATGGAGCGTTTCCAAAGGGTTTGACCCCGTCTTTAACTTAACTCATTGGCTGCCAAAGATGTCTATAGACGTCTTTTATGTTTTTCAACGCGAGTGGCTTGGGGGACGATCTGCTAAAGCTTGTCCGTAAATATCGGCTTCTAGACAGAGTATGTACTAACAAATTGACCCTCTAGGTGGCAGTGCCACTTTTGATGGGAGATGAGCATAGACTGTAGGCAAATAAGAAAAAGGTAACGGTTCGCTATGCGAGAAATGTCGCCGGTGAGACGCAAGTCGAGGAAGAACGGAATAAGGTAGAAACAATTTTTTTTTCCTGATGAAAGAAGAAAGTCTACTCTTTCTTTTGGTGCGTTCTGTGTTTACA